GCTTTTACGATAGCATTCTAAAAAATTTCGGAAGCCTGATTCTACCAGCAAAAACATTTTCTTTTTAAATTTTTACCTGACGAGTTAATGTTTTTAGACGATTTCTTCATATAAGAGAGAGATGCCGAACTAGACGATTTCTTCATATACGAGATATATACGATGATTTCTTCATATTTTGAGAGAGAGAGACGTTCGCAATAATTCTATTTAAAAAAAAATCAATTAAATTACATAATTTTTAAAACCATTATATTAAAAAAATTACTTACGCATAGATTTTTTCATTTAAATGAACTCTTCCAAATATTTTTGAACGGCGTTCAAAGCTTGAATAAAAAAATTAACTTCTTTTACAGGGATGTTAAATCTATTTTGTATCTCCCCTTTAGCACTTGTTTTCGCTAAACATACATAATACTGTTGTCTGAATTCTTTAATTTCTAGGTTAAACCCATGCGATATGTATATCGAATACGGCGGGATGGATTTAAACGACGATTCGTCCTTCGATATTACTAAATCATACTTCTTCTTTTTCTCCACCGCTGCATCATCAATTTTTGTTGTTGATTTACGCTTTCTACTTGTAAAGGGGTTGTCGATTACAAACAACGACTGAGAATCTATAAAAAAAGATGAATAACTATAAAAAATAATAATTTAATTTTCTCATTTAAAATCAAATCTAAATAAAAAAAAAAACATTTAGCTTACCTTCCATAGACATCTTTTCTTGCTAGTTGTAGAGAGAGAGAGAGAGAGAGAGTTGATAAACTAATGAATCTATTTGTCTATTTCTCTCGCTTTTATATTCTTTTGATAATAAGGGTTATTACCCTTTGACACCGTTAATATTTAATAACGGATGTGAATTTTTTCTTGAGAATGTATTAAAGAATAAAAGTGTGTGGGAACTCTTAAAGAAAAAAAAACATATTACATTAAACAATCTGGGTGAGAAAAAAAAAACATATTACATTAGCCATCTGGGTGGAAAGTCTTGAAAAAGAAAAAAAAATGGGTGAGAAAGGTTAAAGAAGAAAAAACCATATTACGTTAGTTATTTCGTGGGAAGTCTTGCATTAAATATCTAATTGTATAAAAAGTTCTTAATATCTGCGTGAGAAGTCTTGAAGGGATAAAAAAAATGTCAGGCAATATATAAATACTTTTATTTCTTCTTCGTCCTTATATCTCAGACAAAATGAACTCAATCCTAGTACTGAAAACCTTCGAAAGATATCTTTTAATAATAACCGATGAAATATATTATAATGGAACAAAAGTAGTTGATGAATCATGGATACCAATAGTAATTCCTGAAAATTTAGATAGAGAAAAAAAAGTCTGTTATAAATCACCTGAAAATAAGTGGATAACGTTAAAAGAAATAGGTATTTATTTTTTTATATTTTACTAAAAATTATTTTTTAAATATATAATATCTGTTTTAGTTGGTTTTAAAAATCTTATTTTTTTTAGAATATACGAATCCATATTGGTGGTATGAAAACATACATGATTTATTTAAACATATTAATGGCTCAGAATTGAATGACAGAATTTATAAAAACCTATTAGTGTATGAGTACAAAACATACGAAATTTTTTGCGGGACTAAATCATTTTTAAAGGTAAAATCAAAACAATTAGAAAGACACCAGTAATAATACGGAGAAAAGAGAAGTATTGGTGTATTATTGATTATAAGGGGGAAACCATTATTTTATTTCTTGATGAGTGGTAAGGATTTTTTTTCAAAAAATTTAAATATATTTGTTTAGTTTTTCTTAAACGATTTAATATTATTTTTAGAAATGGAAACGGTAGAATAAAGAAAAAAATGGTGAGTAAAAAAAATATTTCTTTGATTTTTTCGAATATGCGCTGTTAAATTTAATATTAGTTTTTTTTTCCAGGTTCAATAAAAACACATTTTTTTAAATTTTAAATAGATTTTTTATTTGAGTAAACTAATGCTACATTGATTACAGTTAATTTTTATATTAGATAGTAATTTACCCAAGCGGAAATTATTGTGTATAAATCTCATTACAAAAGCATTATTGAATAGTTTAGTATTAGGTTGTAATTTTCGCATGTCTTGATTTCTCGATATTTTATAGAGAAAATATAGAAAAAAGTATCCGCACGTAAAACTATACAGTCCTTGCAAAGTCAATCGATTCCAGCGTAACTGTTTCGAATTCCGACGAATAAATTTTATAATCGAGGGGATTTTGGGAGGTAATCCATACGAGTCGAAGTAAAAACATGTCGAATCTTGAAAATATATCGCTATCCAATGTTGTCCCGGCTTTAGACTGCTATCGGTATTAACTATAAATCCTTTCTTTTTTCCGATTTTTTCGGGTAATAAATCCGATGGATAGACGCCTCCAAATGTCTTGCTAATTTCTGGATCTCCTAATGCTAGTTTCCATAGGGTAATCGTATCCATCGTTTAATAATCGATGAAAATATTCCGAGATCGATCGATTTCTATTGTATTGCGATACTCTAAATAACAAACAACATTAATTGTCTCCGGTAAAGGTCTTTTGAACTTTAAATCTATACTAATGTTTCCGAGTGTTATTATCGATGTATGATTTTCAGACGCCGCCTTATCAGGAGTTAAATCAAACACGTGAAACATGTATCCTTGCGCGTAGTCGGAATACGATATATTAGCGTATTTTCCGTAGGGAATTCCACCCATCTCTTCGAATAATGTTGCATAACTTCGAGCGTAGCTTTTTTCGTCGAAATCGGAGGTATAAGGATTAGGAGGAATTAAAATCGAATCCTTTATAACAGAAATATAATTTAAATCGAAATTTTCAAAATTGAAAGGATTTAAATCTATCTGTCCGTTAAATGCGTTATTACGAACTAATCCGATTATAATTCTTTTCGGGATTTGACCGATTATTGCGTTTGAAATATTTGAACTCAAAATACCTTTACTTAGCGTAAACACTTTAATTTTAACTCGTCGATAAGGCATTTTAATTACGGAATTTTCCAAAGTCTTCTCCATTCCGAGTAAGATGCTAGGACTAACCTCTATTCTGTTTACTTTCAATGCAATATTCTTTAATCGAATCTGATAGTTATCGCTATTTGCCATTAAAGCAAAAGCGTCTTTTGAACGTTCCAATTTTATTCGAACATCTACGCCGTTTATCAGTAATTTAGGTTGATTAATAAAATCGAAATGAAGTCGTCCATATAAATCCAATACTTGACTTTGACTACTTTTCTTAAATCTGGCGATTAATCCTTCATTCTTAGCGTCTTTAATTGGATCAGTTTCGTTTAAAAATCCAGCAGTATCTTTGTAGAAAAAAGAACTAGTTAAATAAGTTTTTTGCACTTCTTCAGACGAAAATAAGAGAGCGTCTATTATCGCTTTATAGGGATAGTTTATATGCGGCGATACTAATTTATCATTAAACAAAGTGGTACATTGTGAAAACATACTATGCAATAAATTATTTACCAAAGTAACGAGAATGGTATCCAAAGTAGCCATTCCATTTCATTTAGTAATGGATAATTGCGCATTAATCGAAATACTGCTCAAATCTATTAAGCTTTCACCCGAACCGGGAATTAAAAATTCTATAGGAGATGTTTGGTTAGTTATGGAGGCTATGGGGAAAAGTATGCTAGGAGTTGAATTTTCTACAGTCAGTTGTGTTGGTATTGTTTTAAAGAAATCGAGCACCGACTTGCTGCACGGACAAGATGATAAATCCATTTATTCTTATGAAAAAATATCGACTTCCTTCCTCTTAATATTCTTTTGTTTTACGCTTTTTCTTCGACGTTTTCGTTTTTTACTCGATCCGCTTTGAACTTTTTGAATGATGTCATCTCTCACTCCTTCACCTAATTCTTTTATACGTGTTAGGGCAAAATCTTTTAACGATTTTCCGCTGAGTAAATCGGATCTGATATCTTTTGCCATATTTAACGCTTTCTTTCCAATATATTTTCCCGCATCTTTTAATATTAGAGTTAGTTAGTTAGTTCGTTAGAGTTTATTGGCGTAAGGGCCATACAGGCCAAGCTGCGCCATGGCAAATAGTATATATAGATAAATAAATATATATATTGTAAGATGTTTAATATAAATAAATAAATAAACTAATAACAAAACAATATATAACAATATAGATGTACATAATAACCAGATATATACATAAATGAATAAATAAATAAATAATCAGCAAGGTATATATATAAACTAACCTAGATAAATAATTAAATATGTTTATAAATATTATTCACTTTCAAAAAGTTCAATAATTTGTCAAGATTTGGCCTCTGGCCCAAAATCTCTCTCAAACTTGCATTTCCAAAATGCTGTCTATGACTTTGATCATAAGCTGTGCAGTTGCAAAGCATGTGTTTTACACTTAGAAAGCAGTTGCAATACTCGCATACTGGCTGGCCTTCACCCTTCAAAAGGTATTGATGAGTCAACCGAATATGCCCAATTCTCAAACGAGTAAGAATTACTTCAGATCTCCTGTCATACTGTTTATTATGTGTCCAATTTTCTATAATTGGTTTGATCACATGTAGTTTATTGTGGACTTGTGCATTCCACACGTTTTGCCATCTCTCTGCTAGTCGTTTTTTAACTACTAGCTTCAAATCATCTCTGTCAATACGCATTATATGCTGTAAAGGACTAGCTGACTTTGCAGCTGCGTCAGCTTCTTCATTCCCTTTTATACCTACATGGACCCAACAAAATTTTACAAAGAAATTACTCGCAGGAAGATGGCAAAACAATTTGCAAATTTTAATCACTATAGAGTGAGAACAAGGTTCACGTGAAATCAAAGCCTGAAGTGCACTAACTAAGTCAGTGTAAATAACGCAGAAACGATGACCTTTCCTATTTATATACTTTAAAGCTAAATAAATAGCATACAACTCTGCAGAAAAGATGGAAGAATTCAATGCAATTTGTTCTGCCATGATTTCATCCTGGCAGATAAAGGCTGAGCCAACGTAATCATCAGATTTAGATCCATCTGTGTAAATAAAAATTAAATTCCTGTCACGGTGTTGAATTTCTGCAAAGTGCTGCCTGTAGACATAGTCTGGGGTGGATTCCTTTGGAAATTGCTTTAAGCTAAGGTCAACATTTAAAAGGTTTAAAGATTTTAAACATCTACTCTTCATGTTGCGTAAGTGTGGCAGAAATGTCAGTTTTTTGTCGAAAGAAACACCCAAAAACTTAGTTTCATTCACCATTGGGATTTTATCCCCGTTTAGGTGAATTTCCGGATCCAGGTGCATACCACGCCTTCGGCAATACAGAGAAGACCTCATGCATCCACGCCTTCGGCAAAAGTGGATGCATGAGGTCTTCTCTGTATTAAAAGTAAAACCATTGATCTTGGACCAATTGTCTATGCGATTTAGGGAGTTTTGCAGTAGTCTCTCAATGAAACTCATAAGTAGTATGCGTTTGATACGTTCTGAAGTATAAAAATTAATGGTAACAGAGAGCAACATAAAGTTTTTTTTATTATCTAGAGATTATATACGTTTTAAGTTTTAAAAAAACGATTTGTTCTTAAAGAAAAATATGATTTTTGGTGTTAGTGATTGATATCGGCAAGTGGTTGGTTGGTTGGTTAACTTTTATTGGCACAAAAGCCATACAGGCTATACTGCGCCNGTAACGGATAATTGAGCATTAATCGAAATACTGCTCAAATCTATTAAGCTTTCACCCGAACCGGAAATTAAAAATTCTATAGGAGATGTTTGGTTACTTATGGAGGCTATGGGGAAAAGGATTGTCGCAGTAGTATGTTCTATAGACAATTGTGTGGGGATTGTGGCGAAAAATGCGAGCTCGGACTTCAGACATGGACAAGATGAGGGGTCCATTTATTCTTAAGAAAAAATATCGACTTCCTTCCTCTTCTTAATAGTTTTTTGTTTTACGCTTTTTCTTCGACGTTTTCGTTTTTTACCCGATCCGCTTTGAACTTTTTGAATGACGTCATCTCTCACTCCTTCACCTAGTTCTTTTATACGTGTTAGGGCGGAATCTTTTAATGATTTCCCGCCGAGTAAATGGGATCCGATATCTTTTGCCATATTTAACGCTTTCTTTCCAATATATTTTCCCGCATCTTTTAATATTGGAATTGCTTGTCTGAACACGTCTCCAAAAAATCCGTATCCTCTTTGGATCGGACGACCTTTAAACTATTGTCCGTATCCCGATTGAGGGGTAAAATAACGGGTGTGCGGATATATAGAATCAGGATAAAAAAATCCTCCCGCCTGCGATCGATAATAAGCGATACAGTCCTCTGGTTTAAGCTTCATTTTATTAAATATATGATTCTTTTGTGAAAATGGATTTTTATACTCGTCCAAAACATAATACCAAAAGCGATTTTCCAGAAGTAAAAATTATGTTTTCACCCGTGGATGAGCGCAGATCTATAGATATAGTCTCGATGTGATTGGTTCGAACAGGAAAAAATAATGGAGTGTTATAAATTTTATCAATTTGTTGTTCTTTTTCTCCCATGAGGGGAATTACTCGAAACAACGGAGCCGAAGTATCCCCTACATGATGAGATTCTATTATATTAGAATATACAAATATTTCCGTTATTCCAGCGTTTAATTCTAAAGGATACGTCCCTATAAATTCTCCTTCGGGATATTCTAATCGATCAAATCCTAATATATCTTTTAATTGTCTATTAAATTTGACTGAAGATCCTCGTGGAATTTTCAATAGTAGCTTTTTATCCGGAAGCGATTTAAAACTTATTATCTGAAATGCTTTAAGAAAATCTTTTGTTCCGTATAATCCTCTCGGTATTTGTAATATATTTTCAACATTTTCGGTTTTTATTTCTTCTATATACCTATTTTTCTCGATTAAAGTAAAAAATTCTCCACTGAAATCTTGTAAAGACGGAGTATATCGAAATGTTTGTTCTTCTTCTCCCTGTATAATGAACAGATTTTGATTATCTAAATTCAGCATAGAGAGAAATATGCCACCACTATCTGGAAGTAAACGCAATTCACAATCATTAGCGACGTAAATTTTTACAGTGCTATTGTATTTGTTAAAAGAAAAATTAATAAAATGATCCTTTTTCAAAACTTTCAAATTATTTGTAATATTCTCGAATATATGACTCGAGTTGTTCCCTTGCATAGGTTGTAATGGAACTAAAGTAGATAAATCTTCGGCTTTTATTTTAATCAATTTCGTTTCCTTAGTAGTAATGACGTATTTGTTATTTTCACTAGTGATATTAAACCACGAACGTGGTATTATTATTTGGGATAAACCCACTTCCCAAGATCCTGTTAAATTTATCGGTGAATTAATTTTCGATGTAAAGGAGGATTGAGTATTTTTTGGAAGAAAATCCATACTCGCAGTGCTTATTAGAGTCACATAAATATTATCCATTTTTTACTTTCTGCAATTCTTCGTTATAAAATCGTCCTTTAATCGACTGGTTGTTATAATCTTTCAGGACATAAGTAAATGGATTGGTAGGATGTTGTTCTTTTATAATACAAATTTCCTTACTCCATCCGGGTAAATAACCTCTTGTAAAAGTTTTTCGTTTTTTAGAAACTAACTCTATCGTCAATTTTAAATTTATATTTTATTTTAGTTTTTCGTTTTACCATAAAGTTGATTAAAAATTTGCGAATGATGTTGGGGTTTAACCTCGGCCGGAGACATTCCTATACTTCGATGCGTGCTATTATTATACGCTCATACCAAATCGTTTAATTTATCAATATATTTATTGGAATTTCGATAAGTAATAAAACAATGAATTTTATTTTTTAAGGTCTTATTAAATCGTTCCACTATCAATGCTTTTGTTTCGGAATGAGTATAATAATGATTTATTTGATGTTTTTTAAATAAATCCTTAATAACAGAATTCATGAATTCCTTTCCTTTATCGGTATGGAGAAACCTTATAATTATTTTTCTAAATATTTTTTGAAATGCTTTTTTTATCGTTTCCGGTGTTTTGTCTTTAACTGGAATTACATACGTATATTTAGAAAACGCATCGATAGTTGATAATAAATATTTTATTTCATTATTGACTTTTGAAAATTGACTAACATCCATCAGATCAAATTGAAATAATTCTCCTTGATATATAGCTTTAGTTTTACGACGTGCATAATTTATTCGTACTGGTTTATGTAGAGTATACGTATCTTGAGTCAATAGCCATTTTTCAACAGTTTTTCTCGGCAACTTTGTTGCTTTTATTAGGCTTGTTATGCCGCCAAACTATGTGGGATGAGATAAAGTGTAATAAATACATCTCAATAATCTTTCCATGAAATATGCTTCCTTTTAGATGATGCAACTCGTTTAGGAATTTTTGTAGCAGATGCTCCGCCAGTTTTTTCCTAACGCTAATCGATCGAATCGGAGGCAATGGAATCAATGGCAATCGAAAACGAAGTACGGGAAATTCTCCTATTTTTAATCGAGTCAACAATGCTTTATTTCCAATCCATTTTTTGGGTATATTCGCTTTGATAATTCCATTCCAAAAGGCATCAAAACCTGGGGGTACAATGCTCGATTTTCTCGTTCGCATAAGATACGACATTAAATCTACTATGTGACTGTTTATTATTGGTTCGTTATTCACCACTAATTCTCCTTTTTCGTTCCAATCGTATTGGTAAGATTTTAGTAATTGAATGATATACAGAACATACCTTTGATATGCCAGTGGCACTAAAACTGTTATCTGATCTTCGATAGACAATGGTTTTCTCAATTCAGGCGATTGTTGTTGAGATTCTTCTGTTGGTTGCAATGTTGAAAAAACTCGAATTGATTCTTTCGGTGCATGGATAGTTTGTTTAAATCTCAAAATCAATTGACTTAATAGTTTAACTTTCAAATCATCCGTCAAAGTACTTTCTTCTAATAAATCTTGAATATTATCGTGTAATCGTATTTCTGGTTTTTGTAATTGATATTTAGGTACCAATTCGGGCGGTAGTAGCGCCATTCATTGAGCCATTTTTTTAGAATCCAAAAAGTTTTTTAGCTAATGATATTATTAAACCTAAAATTGCATCTAAAAATCCTCCAGATTGGTTTACCAAAATCTTCTTTTTTGCTTGGAGTCCTATTTTTTTATTTGCGAGTTTTCGTATACATCCTTTATATTTTTTTAACTTATTCACATTAACGGGCAAACGACCTTTAAGCATGTTGTCGCAAATTTCGCATATGACTTTTATTTGATCCGAAAAAGCTTCTTTTAACAAAGCCTTTTGCTGAGCAGGTGTTGTCTTTGCAAGCACATTTAACAAATAATAATTTTTTTTAATATTCTTCATTTTTGTGGAATATAAACCCAATACACGCCTTGGTTGTCGGGAAAACACGAATCCCACAAACACAATTCCTTATCCGTAGACGGGTGGAAATCGATTAGTAAATAACCGTACGGTTTGGATGTCGCGGTTAAATATGGATCTTTAAAGTATTTCGTTCTACCTATAAACGCTTGACGAGCGAGACATTCATTTGACTTTCATCTCTGTTATTCTTAAATAATATTAAATAATGAGTATTTAAACTTATATCTCTCATTACTTTATTACGAGGAAATAAATTTTGCATTATCAATATAACACTTATATTTTTATGATGGGATTGAACGGTAAATAATTCGGCAATTTTTTCGGTTAAAGAATGCATTAAATCGTCTATAATTATTAAATCCAAATTTTCGATGTTTTCGGGAATACCACATTTAAAACGAATATTTTTCTCTTCCACGAACCACGGCTGAAACATTGAATAACACCACATAACTCTTTTTAACGGTTTTTCGTAGATATTTTCACGCAGCATTTTCCGAACTAAAGAAGTTTTTCCAGATTGAGACAGACCGACAATAATACAACTCGACGGATGTTTTAAACGCATTTCGTACAAAGTAAGTTAAATTCTTTCTTTAATAATTGCACACTAATATATTTATGAGGTAGTCCTTCGCTCGTAAATTTTCGAATATCATATACAACTCTTCCAGCATTCGTACATTTATGTAAATAAACGTTTCTATCTAAATGTAAAGAATATTCGCAAGTAGTATTTTTTATATCAATTTCCTTAAAATCCGATCTACATAATAAAACTGAAAAACCAATCGTTAACGCAAATAATTCTAAACAGGTTATAATAGCGAAAGCGATTAATATATTACGAGACATGATGTAAAAATAAAGTTTAAAACCAAAATTATTACGTATTAAAATAATCACGAAAACAACTAGTGCGCATGCGTGAAAAACATAATAAAAAAACTAGATAGCGAATTCAAAAATTAATTCATTAGAAAAATGGGAGAGTCAAGTACATGCGTGTCGTCGTTCGGTTGGAGAGCATTTTTTCCAATACGCTTTCTCTAATGGTAGCTTCTCAAGCATCGAATTGGCAAAACACTCGGCTAAATCGGAAAACTTTCCACCATCCATTAAAATTCTATATTGCGTGGATTACTTACCATGGTTTATACCCAAGGTGAAACATTTCCGATGGCTGCTTACATCGAAAAAATCTTATCATCATCAAAGCTTAGAAATTCTATTGGAATCTAACAAAACCTTTAACAATTTTG